CTTAATAATTTTCAACATGCTGTTTGTATATATAAGTTTATTATCATACTTATCATGTTCATATATATCGTTTCTATATTTGGTGTGAAGTATTTGTTCTTTCCTAAGAGTATAAGGTAACCGATTAATATCCGATTCGTACGTTGGTCAGCCAAATTTGTAAGGTCACTATAGCCAGGAGAGCGTCTAGACCTGTTGATGGTGGTCCCGTAGCTAAGATGATTCTAGGATTAAGAACTGTTGTAAAACCAAAAGAACCTCCCTTAGAACTTCTATTTGGATCTTTGATATGTATTTTAATATCCCCCATATACTTACTAGCATGTTGATTATTGTTATTTTTACTTGTTGAAATAAATTTTGTTTTGTAAGTCCATTAGACAGTATTTTTAATCATATTGAAAATAACCAGAACATTTTGAATAGTATAAATTTATCTTCACAATCTACTAAGATTGTGAAGTTAGAAAATGATTTACAAAACAGGAGTATACCAGAAGAACCATTCAAAAAGATTTACCATTTAGGTAATTTTAGCTATTTTACTCGTCGTAATATTAAGAATTGTTAGTCCATTATTGCTATTAATAATTCTTTAGAAATTATTCGCCTGCTAAAGGATATAGATATAAATCGTAATAAATCTGATTATAACTATTTACCCCTCTAGTAAGACTGTGCTTGATACTATCGCAGGAGGGTCATATGGTGAGTGCACTTTTGAGGAGATCGCTGAGAAACTGGGGAAGATTTCCTGAAATAATAAAGCATGGAGCACTAGAAAGTTAGACACAGGAAGGAGAACTTTTACAGTTCAATCTGCACCTAGTAAATCTGTTGATGATATTCGTGAGAAGATGGCTCAGATGAGGATCGAACTAGGGTTGGTGTTGAAGCATGTGATGGGAGGTGCCAAAAGGGTAAATGATGTGAATTATTTGAGTAGAAATCCACCACCCCCGGTTGAGGAATGCTACTATGAAGAAGATACTTATGTGGTGAATGATCAGACAAGGGGTTTCCAAGAAAACGCCCAAGGTTCCAATTCGGATAATTAGTACCAGGGTCAAGGAAACCGAGGTCGGAACTATGGTAACTACAATCGAGAGGGGCAATATTGTCCGGGATGGGAACTACAATCGTGACAACAACTACAACCGAAACAACTATGGAAACATGAATGATAGAGATGGGCCTTATATACCTGCACAAAATCAAGAATCTGGCAATAAGAATGCTGGGGGTAGTATGTCACGGATTGAGGATATGATGCAGAAGATGATGAAGAGGTTTGATTCGACTGATGAAAATGTGAAGGAGATGCTAAATGACTTGTATGGTATTATTGGTCAAAAAGTTGATTCCCATGCAGTGTCGATCATGCAACTTGAGCAGTAGATGAATCAGTTGTCTACTACAGTAAAACCACTTCAGCCTAGCACACTTCCTAGCAACACCATCCAAAATTGGAAGAATGATGGGCATTGTATAGCAGTCACTACTCGAGGGGGTAAGCAGACCATTGATCCACCTATGACGTTTGAGGTTGAGATTATTTATGAGAAAGATGATAAGGATATTCAGGTTACTGGAGAGTCCAAGAATGCTACAGAGAAAGAAGTGGAGATAACCCAAAAAGTTGTCCCCATGCCTAGACCTCCACTTCATTCCCACAAAGGTTGGTGAAGAAGAATGAAGAAGGGAAATTTCGCAGGTTTATTAGTATGTTGAAACAACTTTCCATCAATGTTCCGTTGATAGAAGCTTCGGAGCAAATGCTTGGGTATTCGAAATTTATGAAAGATTTGGTGACTAAGAAGTGGGCCGTTAATTTTGAAGATGAGGAAAAGTTGCAACATTGTAGTGCTATTACTACTAGGTCACTTGTGCAGCAGAAAGAGGACCCTGTTGCTTTTACTATTCCTTGTACCATCGGGCTGTTATGCTTTGCGAAGGCGTTGTGCGATTTGGGTGCAAGTATCAATCTGATGCCATTGTCAATTTACAAGAAGTTGGGTTTAGAGACTCCAAAATAGACTGATATGCGACTACTCAAGGCCGATAGAACTGTGAAGAAGCCCAATGGTGTTCTCCAAGATGTGCTTGTGAAAGTGAAGTAGTTTATCTTTACGGCGGATTTTGTGATACTTGGCTGTGAGGTTGATTTCTAGGTTTCCATCATTCTAGGGAGGCCATTCCTTGCTACTAGGCGCGCTTTGGTCGATATGGAAAAGGGGCAAATGAAGTTCTGATTGAACAATGAAGAGGTTACTTTCCATATCTGTAGGTCTATGAAGCAGGGTATTGCGCTCAAGTCCGTATCAGTGATGAATCATATGGTAGAGCGAGGTTTTGAGGTGTCTATTGAAGAGCGATTGGGTGTTGATGCATTGGCAGAGGTTATGATGAATTTTGAGGGTGATGGTATTGATGACTATAATGAATTGGTCGCCACACTACATAGGTTTGAATTTCGTTCCAAACCAAAGAAACTTGAGTTAGATATGAAGAATCGCAAATCTCCACCCGCAAAATTGTCTATTGAAGAGGCTTCAAAATTGGAGCTAAAGGTTCTACCATAACACTTTACGTAAGTTTTCTTGGGGAGAAATGGTACTTTATCGGTCATCATTGCGGCCGATTTGATTGCGGAACAAGTTGAGGCTTTGGTTTCTGTGTTCAAGAGGCTCAAAAGGGCTATTGGGTGGACTATTGCGGACATTATTGGGATTTCTCCTGGCATTTTTTCTCATAAAATCCAACTCATGCCGGATCACAAGCCTAGTATTGAGCACGAAAGACGATTAAATCCGCCTATGCAATAGGTAGAGAAAAAGGAGATCATCAAGTGGTTGGATACTCGAGTCCTTTATCCCATTGCAAATAGTAGTTGGGTTTGTCTTGTTCAGTGTGTACCCAAGAAATGTGGGATGACTGTGATACCTAATGTGAGAAATGAGCTTGTTTCGATGCGGCCCGTGACTGGATGGAAAGTCTGCATGGACTACCAGATATTTAATGCTTGGACAGAAAATGAGCACTTCCTTATGTCGTTCATGGATCAGATGTTGCACTGCCTTGTTGTTAAGGGTTAGTATTGTTTTCTTGATGCTTATTCGGGCTGCAATCACATCTCCATAGCTCCGGAAGACCAAGATAAGACCACATTCATTTACCCTTATTGGACTTTCGCCTTCAAATGGATGCCATTTGGGTTGTGTAATGTTCCAGCGACCTCCAGCATTGCAGGATGTCAATCATTTCGGATATGCTGGAGGACACTATTGAGGTATTTATGGATGATTTCTCTGTGGTATGTGACTCCTTTGATGGTTTCTTGGATTATTTGGCCATGGTACTGAAACAGTGTGAAGAGTGCAATCTTGTGCTCAATTGGGAAAAGTGCCACTTCATGCCCTTAAAGAGGGGATCATTCTAGGTCATCGGATTTATGAGAAGGTCATTGAGGTTGGCAGAGCAAAAGTCAAGGTAATAGAAAAGCTTCCACCACATATCTATTTTAAAGGTGTTAGAAGTTTTCTTGGGCGTGCAGGCTTTTATAGGAGGTTTATCAAGGATTTTTCCTAAATTACACACCTATTATGCAAATTGTTCGAAAAGGAGTGTAAGTTTGATTTTGATGATGCTTGTCTGAGAACATTTTGAGAGTTGAAGGAAAATCTAGTTTCCACATCTATCATTATTTCACCAGATTTGGGGCAACTGTTTGAAGTAATGTGTGATGTGAGTGGAGTGGCGCTTGGTGTGGTATTTGGACAGAGGTGAAAGAAGATTCTTCATCGTATTTACTATGCCAGTAAAGCTTTAAATATGGCTTAAAAGAACTATACAGTGACTGAATAGGAACTCCTTGTTGTGGTTTTCACACTCGAGAAATTTTGATCCTACGTGCTTGGTACGAAGGTCATAGTGCATAATGACAATTCTGTATTGAGGTATCTGATGGCTAAGAAGGATGCAAAACCGAGGTTGATTAGATGGGTATTATTGCTGCAAGAGTTCGACTTTGAGGTGAAAGACAGAAAGGGGACAGAAAACCAAGTTGCTGATCACTTGTCCAGATTAAAAGAAGAAGCTATGCTCAAGCTAGGAGATGCGGCTGAAATTAATGATGCTTTTCTAGATAAACATATATTGGAGGCTTCTCATGATCTGATTCATTGGTTCGCAGACTTTGCTAATTACTTGGCAAGTGATTTGGTTCCATCGGATTTGTCTCTTCACCAGAGGAAAAAATTTATGCGTGATTTGAAGAAGTTCTTTTGGGATGAGCCTTATTTGTTCCGTATTTGTGCTGATGGGATTATTCATCGTTGTGTGCCCGAGGTTGAGATAATGAGTATACTAGAGGCGTGTCACTATTCGCCTGTTGGTGGGCATCATAGTGGTATTCGGATTGCGCATAAAATTTTGCAGTCTGGGTATTATTGGCCTACAATCCACCAAGATGCTCAAGATTTTACCAAGTCTTGTTATTGTTGCCAAAGAGAATGAGGAATTTCAAAGAGGCGAGAGCTACCTATGAATCCAATTTTGGTGATTGAGTTGTTTGATGTTTGGGGCATTTATTTTATGGGTCCATTTGTGAGCTCACATGGGATGAATTTTATTCTTGTTGCGGTGGATTATGTGTCAAAATGGGTGGAAGCAATTGCACTTTCAAACAATGAAGCTATAAGTTTCACCGCATTCCTGGAAAAAAAAATATCTTCTCCCGATTTGATACACCTAAGGTGATTATCAACGATGAAAGTTCCCACTTCTGTAATAAGTTGTTCAAGGCGCTACTTGAGAAATATGGCGTCCGCCACAATGTAGCCACTCCTTACCATCCGCAGTCTAGTGGGCAAGTTTAAGAGTCCAACAGAGATATCCAGCAAATCCCTGCTAAGACAGTGAATGCTTATAGAACCGATTGGTCTATAAGGCTTGATGAGGATCTATAGGCCTATCGCACCACATTCAAGACTCCGATAGATATGTCCCCGTACCAACTTGTATATGGGAAGTCATGCCATTTGCCGGTACAGCTAGAACATAAGGCTATGTGGGCGCTAAAGAAGTTGAATTTGGATTGGGGTGCCACATCGAATCAGAGAGTAATTGACTTCAATGAGCTTAATGAGTTTCGTCTAAGAGCTTATGAAAGTTCAGCCTTGTACAAGGAGAAGACGAAGAAGTATCATGATTAAAAGTTCGAAAAGCGTGAATTTGTTGTGGGTGATCTGGTTCTTCTATTCAACTCTAGGTTGCACTTGTTTCCTTGCAAGCTCAAGTCCAAGTGGACCGGGCCATTCATAGTCAGCCAAGTGTTCCCACATGGAGCGGTCGAGCTCGAGAACAATGAGGGAAAAAGTTTCAAGGTAAGCAGGCAAAGGAACAAGGTCTACATGGGTAAAAAGGAGAATGTCCAAGTGGTGGTTGAGGCCTACTATCTTGATGAAGTCTGAGTAATCAGGAGGCATGCGACGTGCCACGACGTTATATCAAGTGTTTCTTGGGAGGCAACCGAAGATGTACAATCTAGCCAACTATAGATTTTTCTTTTCGATTTAGGAGTTTTCTCTATTTAGTTGATTTTCTGTAATTTTTAGTTTAGTATTTTATTTTTGTTTTAGTGTTTGCTAGATATAGTATAGGGTCTATGTCTAAAAAGTGTCCAGAAAATGTAAAAACAAAGGCCTAACGGTTGCTACATGTGTAAAGATGAAAAGCAAAATCTGCAGAAAAAGGTTTGTGTAGAGGTCTATGGACCCCATCTATGGTCTGTGGGTCCATCCACGAACCGTGAATGGTGTCCGTAGACCCCATGTAAGTTCTTAATTTTTCTAAGTGTAAGAGTCACCTATGGACCGGACCTATGGACCGGACCTACGGTCCGTTGGTCGACCCACAACACGTAGACGAGGTGTCGTGGGTCAAAACCTAGGCTTTACCCGACATAAGGCTATGTGGGCGCTAAAGAAGTTGAATTTGGATTGGGGCGCCACATCGAATCAGAGAGTAATTGACTTCAATGAGCTTGATGACTTTCGTCTAAGAGCTTATGAAAGTTCATCCTTATACAAGGAGAAGACGAAGAAGTATCATGATTAAAAGTTCGGAAAGCGTGAATTTGTTGTGGGTGATCTGGTTCTTCTATTCAATTCTAGGTTGCACTTGTTTCCTTGCAAGCTCAAGTCCAAGTGGACCGGGCCATTCATAGTCAGCCAAGTGTTCCCACATGGAGCGGTTGAGCTCGAGAACAATGAGGGAACAAGTTTCAAGGTAAACAGGCAAAGGAACAAGGTCTACATGGGTAAAAAGGAGAATGTGCAAGTGGTGGTTGAGGCCTACTATCTTGATGAAGTCTGAGTAATCAAAAGGCATGCGTCGTGCCACGACGTTATATCAAGCGTTTCTTGGGAGGCAACCGAAGATGTACAATCTAGCCAACTATAGGTTTTTCTTTTCGATTTAGGAGTTTTCTCTGTTTAGTTGATTTTCTGTAATTTTTAGTTTGGTATTTTTATTTTTTTTTAGTGTTTGCTAGATATAGTATAGGGTCCGTGTCTAAAAAGTGTCCAGAAAATGTAAAAACAAAGGCCTAACGGTTGCTACATGTGTAGGGATGAAAAGCAAAATCTGCAGAAAAAGGTCTGTGTAGAGGTCTATGGACTCCATCGATGGTCCGTGGGTCCATCCACGGACCGTGAATGGTGTCCGTAGACCCCATGTAAGTCCTTAATTTTTCTAAGTGTAAGAGTCACCTACGGTCCATAGGTCGACCCACAACACATAGATGAGGTGGCGTGGATCAAAACCTAGGCTTTACCCGACCCCACCTGGACCCCTTTCTAATAAAAATCTTCATTTTTAAATTCATCCCCCACATCCCCTATTCTCTCCTAACCATTTCTAACCCATTCAAATCCCATAACTTTGTCATAAATCCCCCAAATCACTCTCTCTTCCCATAATCATCTTCCCTTATCCCAAATTTCCAATCCTCCTTTCCCCAAAATCTGAGCACTCTCATTCTCCATCATAAAAATAGTTCAAGGTCCGGGTTCGTTGTCAAAAAGGTCTAAGGAGTTTTAGCATCACACAATCACCCACTTCAATTACATGTAAAGTAAACGATTTCAACTTAACTCTGAATTTTGATATTCAATGTTCAATATATGAAGTCATGCAGTGGATCTTGACCTTGTGTTGTTTTTGTATGAAAATGCATGAAAAACTATAGTTCGAAACACCCTTGGGATGATAGAATGTGGTTGTGTTGTCTTTGTTATCAAATAAATCTGGGTAAACTAGTCTAAATGGAAGTTTCGATTAAGGGTTCCTCATTTTGTATGCAATAAATGTTAAATAATGAGTGATCGGAACCCTAGAGATGACAAACTATCATAAAGTATGTTGAAATGCATGATTGGACTTAGGGTTATTGTTTGAATGATTGAAAAAGTGGTTTACATATGAAGCATCTTTGATACCTGGCACAAATCTGACACACGAGACCCCGTCGACGGACCGTAGGTCAACCTACAGACCGTAGATCAGGTCTGTGGGTCTGGTACACATGAAGAATCCATTAAGTGTGTAACCACGGAGGTGGACTACGGTCTGTAGGTCAATGTACGGACCATTCTGCACATCTGTGGTTCCCATCACAGCCCAACTTTTTGGGACCTCTGACCTACGGAGGGGGCCCATTGACCGTAGGTCAACCTATGGACCATAGGTACCCACCGTAGATGGCCACTGAAGCTACTATCATAATTTTTTTTGTTTTTCGTTTTGGTTCATTCTTGGTTCTAAAAAAAAAATCGAGTGTGTCATTGGTCTATTTTGGTACTAACTAAGCCTCCACAGGTACCATGGCTCCTAACAAAACACCGACTTGGACACCAAAGGACAAGTCCAACTCCGTGGCACCGACTCTTTGGCTAATTGATGAAGACACTGATGCGGAGACTGATCCCGCATATGTTCCACCTGCCACCAGGACATCCCCCATAGCCCCTCGCACTACCCGGAATCAATCCCGGCAGGTGACTTATGACGTGGTCACTTCCCCCCAGTTTGATGAGGGGATACACCGATCGGTTCACCAACTAGTTTTGCTTCCAGCTCTGAGTCCGCTACTGGCTTCGGCTCTGATTATGGCTCCGTATCCGACTCTAGTTGACATGAGAGGACTTCCTCGTTTGATGAGACTACTAGTGTGGGGGACATTCCAGTACCACCAATCACTGACCCTACTATAGTTGCTGAGGAGACCAACCGGTGGTGTGTAAGTGGTCAATGGCAAATATAAAAGGATCACCGGATGTTGAATGAGAAAGATATGATGGCTCGATTGATAACTGAGAAGCGTCGGGCTCTCACATGTGAAACGACCCCAAAAATGCCCGAAAATGTGCTTCGGAAACACCTATAATTGTAATTTCCATATATCTCAAAATCCGTTTCGTTTTTCAAAAATCCGACTTCATATTCTTGTTTAGGGGGTCAAATTGAGTGGGAAATGGGTCTAACCCAAATTTTAGAGCAACCGTATCAAAATCCAAAATTTCCAAGTGAAGCCTTTTTCGAGGGTCTACTTTGGAGGGTCATATCTCCTAGCACACAAATTATTTGGTGGCCAATAATATATCCATGGAAAGCCCTTTGAGTTAGCTACCTAACGCACTTCGTTTCACCTCATTCGAAGTTCGGACGAAGAAGTTATGCCC